CGTCCTCAAAGGCACATCTTTGGTGTTTTACCCTTTAGAGAGTTCTTTTGAAACTCTGGTACCTTCTCACTATGGGATACTGTTCAGCAGTCAGGAGGAAGGGGGTTGCTGTGGAGACATCGGGTCTGGGAGACAGAGGAGGCAGTCTGCTCCTTTAAAGATTTACAGTCTTGGAAACCCGATGGAGTCACTACGAGTTGGAATTAACTCCATGACAGTGGGTTTGTTTTTGGTTTTTGTAGTTGTTATTTTTTTTTGTAGAATTATTGCCTAGTTTGTTCCATGTGGGAGTGTATTTACAAGATCTTTCCCAATGGGCAATGTTGATACCTTTTGACTTATTCTGTTTTAGAATCCCCACCCCAAGAGTTGTATTAGCCTATAGTTTACGTATCCAGCAATTCAATAGTTCAATCTGGTTCTCGTAGTCTTATAGACTGCCAGAGCTTGTCTCAGTTTCTCTGCCTCCTAAGATACCACCTGGGAATTGATAATCCCTGGAGAGGAAAGGCAGCACACTATACCAGTCTCATTTCTTTGTACGTCCCTCATCTCGATCATCACCTCTCAAGTCCTCAACGCCTGGCAACGTTCTTGATACCTTCTTAAATGGGTGGCTGTCAAGATGGTGACAACGCCTAGTGGCGCCCTAGGACAGAACAGAACTGCCACCAGGACTTCCCAGGCTGTGGTCTTTATGGAAGCAGACTGCCCTAGCCATCTCCTGTGGAATGACTGGTCGGTTCGAACTGCCAGCCTGCTGCTTGTCATCTGAGTGCTTTATTGCTGCACCACCAGGCCCCCTTTGAGGTCGTTTGCCAGATGAGTATGTGTGTGCCTCGGTCCTCATTCACAGTTGCTATCATGAGGAAGGTGCTCTTCCACCAGCGTTACAGAAATCGGGCATGTTCTCTCCATCCATCCTCCTGAGCCGTCTTATTTCTTCTAGTAGTTTGTCAGCTACTTCTTTGGTTTTGTTTGATTGGGGGTAGACATTCAAATGGTCTATGAAAAGAGACAATTTTATCTTTGCATGTAAACTTTTCTTTCTCATTTTTATATTGTTAAATAATAGTAGTCATAGTGGAATTTTATGACTTAAAAAGGAATATTTAACTTTTCACTCTTAAATCAGATATCTGGTTGATACACTTCACCAGTTAAGTTTTTTCCCCCTCCTATTTCTGATTTGTTAAGAATTTATGTTATGAATATGGTTGAGTTTTACTAACCCTCTCATTGACAGCTGTTGAGGCGATTGCTGTTATTGTACAGAATGACATTAATAGCTTTCTTTTCTCCTAATACTATATCAGCCTCACATTTCTGAAACAAACCTTACTTGGCCATTATGTGGGGTTTGATTTTCTAAATTATATTTAGAGTGTCCAACTTCACTTAGACATTCACCTTACTATGTGAGATTCATCCATAGTTGTGTTAGACAGGGTTCTCTAGAGAAACAAAACCAGGACACTTATGATTATATACATATACAGCATGAATGAATATAACCGCTAATTAGTCTACACAGCAGTACAGAGGGCTCAGTTCAACTCGCTTCTGTGGAACAGTTAATATACTGGAAATCCTTCAACTCAAACGCGCTGCTGGGTCCAAGGTCAAGGGAATCTTCTATAGGGCAATGCAGGCAGTCAGGGCACAGGCAGCAAACAGCAGGGTGGGTCACCAACAGTCAGCCAGGAAAAAGAATCCAACAGCCCCAAGCTCAGGTGATGGATATACCAGCAGCATAGCGAAGCAGGTTTTGAAGGAAACTCAAGCTCTAGGGACATGATCCACAAGTTGGGTACCCCACAGGTAGTGTAGCTCACAAGTTGAGGCAGAAAACTAGCTAAAGCAGCCACATGCTGGTCTCATCACCAGAGAGAGAAAGAGAGAGAGAGAGAGGCAGGGCTTGCAGAGCCATTTATCCCTTTGCCCTCCAATCAAACTGCAACTTTATTAATCCCACATGTTCTTATTGGCCAGGTTGGCACAATAAACCTACCTATCACAACAGCTCCCCCCCTTTTTTAATGCAGCTCTTGTTCAGTTTTAGAATTAGCCTTGTACTGTAATCATAAAATCTAATGTATTACATTAAACCTTTTTCTGTGTTCTCAGGCATTTATATAAGACAGAAATTCCCTCATATATATTGTGGAACCTTCTGGACATGATCTTTTTCTGAGGCAGATCTTGGCATCATTTTAGTTTATATGTTTAGGTGTCTCTGGTTTTGAGTTTATTCTGAAATGTGTTTCTAGAAATTTCTCGTTTTATTTTACTTTTTTCAAATGTATTGGTGTAAAGATAAAAGTAATCCTATTTTACATATACCTTCTTCTTTGAGGAGATATTGTCTGATGAAATTATTAGTCCAGGTTTACCATTCTTACACTCTTTCCAGAGGTCTGTAAGAGGCAGGTATTGGCTTGCTTAACTGACCCATTTCAGTAGGTGATCCCTCAAACCTCAAACCAACTCCCTGCCATTGAGTCAATGCCAATGAACAGTGATGCGATAGGACAGAGTAGAACAGCCCCTGTGAGTTTCTGAGACTGTGATCCTCTACAGGAATAGAAAGCCCTTTCTCCTTCGGAGTAGCCAGTGGTTTCAAACTGCTGACTTTGCAGTTAGCAGCCCAACTTCTAACTACTGTACCATCAGGGCTCCTTAGGTGATTGATCCCCTATGGATGTATAAGTAAACTATGTTGGGATTCTGTAGGTAGTGAGCATACCCAAGTGGTCCATTACAGTTGAATAAATATTTTTGTAAGAAACAAAGCCTATTGCGCAGTGGCAATAGCGTAGCCAATGAGGTGTACCCGAGGCGCGATTATTGCTAATTGAAAAAAAAGAAACAAAGCCTACACACTTAGAAATAGTAATTTTTGGATAGCAGTAATATGGGGAGAAGGGGCTCCCCACAAACCATCACAGGTCCGGTAGGTGCAACTGTACAGCAATAGTAAGTAAAGATTATAGTAAAGTCATAGAAAGCATGAGAGGTAAAAGATAGTCAAGTAATGGAGTCTGACACAATTCATGGTAGCATTGCTCACCTCAGTCCCGCTTGATGGTCCTCGTGGGGGTAACCCAGCAACGAGAGCAGGAACAGCCTCGGGGACCGAGAACTGGGGAGCATCCCCTGGCTCGAGAGCCAGAGATGGCCCCGAGAAGCCAGGACTGGGGAGAGCTCCCCTGGGCCCCGGGAGCCAGAGAGAGCTTCTTCTTTATAGCTAACCAACCATTATAGCACTTTAGGGGGGCATGATTATAGAATCACGCGTCACAGGAAGGGGCAGTACAATAGGCATACACATTGTAGGAAGGGGATCTATGATAGGCATAAGCGTAACAGGAAGGGATGAGCTAGGGGTGTGCCCATAGGAATGGGAA